GACCACAAGCACTGTGACTAACATGTAGACACTCATCAGCTTTGCTGTACCACCCACTTTAAAGAGCAGAGGCTACAGCTAAGCCAGACATACCACATAACCCTGGCATTGAAAACAAGGAGTAATTAGTGCTGTAATTACCGGAGAGTCAGGCGAGTTTGTCTGTTGGTTATACAACTGAGGACTCTGGGACACAACTGCAGCTGTGGTGGTGGTCACCGGAGCTCCTGCCAACCGAGAGCAATAATGGGTAAGCCAACGAACTTGTAAAACAGTACTTCCATCCTAGGGCTACAATTACTGTGTTTACAGTTTCAGCTCTTAATTCCAGCTCCAGCAGCCAAAAAAGGCAATAAACAGTCAAAAGCAGACAGATACACAGAGGGTTTTTTTCTTCAGACAAGGAAGAGTTTCCTTTTCAGGAGGAAAAATTCAGCTCCCCAAGTCAGTGATTCCTGGTCTCCGACAGCTGATAGTGCTGAAGATTTGTCTAGAGCTGCTTACGGAGTTCTCATGATTTCAAACTTTTATCAACAGTCTGAAACACAGGCCGCTCTCTCATCTTGCAGACTGAAGCCCCACTTGAACAGATTTGTTGCCGTTCTCTAGTAACATGCACTTAATTCAGATACCCCAAAAGCAAAACCAGTCAAGCCTCCTTTTACACAGCAAAATAACAAAGGCTAAGGCAAAATATCACTATTGCAACATTATCATTACAAACAGCAGCATCTCCTGCATGTCAGTACTACCTGATATGGTAGCTGTGTCTGTGTCCAACACTCCTCCTTGATTTTGGTAGTACTGCTGATAATCCTGGGAGTACTATGAAGAGACAAGTGACAACGCAAGATGAGCAGATGCCTGAATCACAACCACCTACTGGTTAGAGCAAAACTGTCACTACCAACCTGAGCGTACTGCGTGTAGCCATCCTGTCCTGACTGGAGGTAGCTGTAGTCAAGGGTGCTGCCCTCTCCAGTCTGTGGCTGAAATTCAAGCAGGTAGTTTTTGTCAGGGACAGGTAAGTTATTACATTACAGAATTTCAACAGTGCTTAGGCTCCAGACAAACTGTGAGAGATCTACCACAGCAGCCTTGATCAGATCAACCAAGCAAGTAGCCAGCAATGAAGTTATATGCTCTACATTTTCATTTCCAGGAAAGCAGGACTACGTGCAACACCCTCCAAATCATACCTGAGTGGATGACCACTGAGCTGCAGCAATGGCTGTACTTGCCACAGAGAAGGCGCTGACTCTGTTACCGTCTGGGAGAAGCAAGTCTCTGTAAGCACAAAAATCACACATCTGAGTAAACACGGCTTTTTTCTGAAGTGTCTCCTATACAAGGGGGTAGAAGTTTGCCCTTACGCGTGGATTTCTTGGCAGTTATAAACATTCTAATGAATGAGCCAAAGCACTGCTTGGCAAGTGAAGGAACTGTACGTTCATTGTCATGCAGTCAGTAACAAGTGACCAGGTATCCAGGGAAACAAGCACGCTGTGTACACAAGCAGTGAAGATGTTCTCTTCAGAGGACTGGACATAGGGGTGGTAGGAAACACTGCCTTCACTCCCCTCACACGCAGTGAAGAGCAGGATGCACGTAATAAGACACTGAAGGGAAGCAAGACTTTAGAGTAACGTTGATCTTAATGAAAGTCCAGGTGATAACTACACAGCTCTAATCTAAACAAGGTGCAGTGGGGGTGGCAGTGCTAGGTAAAAAAAAACCAACCAAAAATCAACTGCTATCACAACTCACTTTCTGGCACTCTTTGCAAAGTCAACACCAATTGTTTTGCCATCAATTTTTAATGGTGGCTGAAGACTCTGTAAAATCTGCAACAGTTGTGAAGCATCCTACAAGAAGAAATACACATTATTATGAACAGGTTACTGAGGATTTAGAAGTTCCCAAAGCTCCACGTTTTCACAGCCACTGAAAGCAGCTAAAGCTGCAAGAACACCTCCATCTCCTCGTACTACACACAATTAGAAGTACACAATGGGACCAATTACAGCCTGTGTGCAAATAATGTGTGCTTCCCTAGATCAGAGAATATTAAACATCTTCTAAAAATCTTAGCTTTATAAAGCAATGTTTGCCTCAAATTACACTAAAAGGGAGGCCAGCAGAGACTGAGATCAGGCACCCATTTTCATCCAAAACCAAACTGTTCCACTGTGCCTAAAGGAGGTCCAAACAGATGCTGCTGCTGCTGGAGTTTGGTATAAACAGGAAGAGAGACCACCACCCTTCAAGGACCCTGCACCAGCACGTGACCTCTCAGCTAAGACATTTTCGTTGTACCGCACTGCATTTCCCATGTTTCAATTTATGGCTGCTGCCTCCTGTCCTATCCCTAAGTACCCTCAAAAAATTCTCTGCTGTCCCTCACCCTCCCACTGGATGCTGCAGAGAGCAGCAAGATCCCCCTCCTCCCCCTTCTCAAGGTAGATAAAGCCCAATTCTGTGCACCTCCTCCTCCTCTTTCCACATTATATGCCCCAGCCCTTAATTTCTGTGATCAAAATATGACCCCAGACCATTTTCTTCTGTGATGCATGTGTGAATGCAGCCTTCAGTCCAGAACAGCATTCTGCTACAAAAATAGCTTTCCAATGTGCTCACAGCCTCCCACCACCTTCTTTCCGAACGAACGGCAGCTAATGATGAAAGGCTCTGACACACCAGTGCCAATTAACTCTTGGTGAACCGAGGTGCTCCTTCAGACATCTCAAAAGCTCTACATGCTCCAGCTGCAGCAGCACACTAACAAGCTGCTTCTCTCCAACGCATCAGTAAGGCTCTCACCATGGCAGAGGACAGCTGTACAAACGCAAAGCCTCTATTCTGCTGAGTCTGCTTGTCTTTGATAAGACGAATATTATTGACTGCCAGAGAAGCATACGGAGATAAGGCAGTCATAATGGATTCCACTACTGTGTGAGGAGCAATGTTTCGGAGAATGATGGCTGAGGAGAAAAGAAAGTATCGTGTTAGCTGTGCACATTAAAAGCTTTCCAGAGCACTTCAAGTTCTTCAGCAGACAGTTTGAAGTACAGGAAGGGTTTTAGTACCCACTATACACAGGTAGTATATACAGTATACACACACACAAGTATATATATGTACATCATACAGCAAGTCAAAGGTAACTTACTATCACAGTAATAATCCACGGACTGAACGGCTTCTGCTGCTCCAGGTGGGACCTCCTGTTCTGAATCTTCACAGGAAGAAGAAGACGTGTCAGTCACAGCATAACTCATTCCTTCAAACTCAGCATTTCACAACGCTAGGACCTACAGTGAACTTTGTTTCCTACACAGGACAGAAAGTTTCCCACAAAAATCAAACACAACTAAAGAGATTAATGTAACTTACCAAATTTGTCTGCTCCACAGCGGAAGCATTTTAGTCTCCTTCTGAAGTTGTAAAGGCAGCACTGTGAGGAACAAGAGAAGCTCAGTAAGAACTCAGTTAATTTGTAACAACGCTGCCATTTGCTGTACAATAACGAAAACTACACGTTCACACAAAGTAACGTAATGCAGCTAAACCAACTGGAATAATCAAAACCAGCAACTTCGGCAGCAACACCTCTGCTACTCCCTCTACTTGGCCACCAGAGGCACAAAACTGTCTCATTCCGGTGTCTTACCATTCCTAACACGTCACATGGGCCATCAGTGCGAGCGGGCCTGAATCACCTATCACGCACCATTCAAACCACTGAGCTGGTGAAGAGCACCGAAGCTGAGACAAACTCCTTCCGAGAAAAATATGCACTGTACCTTGTTGCAAAGCCAGTCTTCAAACTTAGGCCTGGGGTTGCTGTAGTGCATCGCAATCTGCTTCCCTTGAATCACCAGCTTTTTCTGCAAAAAAAGGAGTTTCAATTATTCCTGTATCGAGGCGCACACATCTATTTTCCCATGGCAGAGCACCCTTCGGAGGAATCAGTGCTCCTGAATTAATGGACAACATATGGGGAGGATGTGGAGGACAACCACCGCCACCTACACCCTGCCCATCCAATCCTGCAGAGAGGACAAGGGCAGTAAGAGAATGGGATGTGGAGCAAAGATAAACGAAATCAGGGAGTGTTGAAAAAGCTGCCAAACGCTAAATGCTGACATGGAACCAGGAAGTGTCTCGAAGGAGACAAAGTCCTAACCTGCCGCGTTCAGGATTAACACAGTTTTAGGAGTCTCTTTGCCCCCACATTGCTATTAACTTCTGATATAGCACTGAGCAACTTATTAAACATATCCTTAGGTGACTGCTTCACTTCTTCCCCAACTCAAAATACCCCAGACCTTTTAACAACCACATTTGGATTACTTTTCCAAGCACTTTCTTCAGAAGTGTCCCTTTGAAAGTACAGAAATTCCTCCCAAAGGGACCCTTGCTTAGACTTCTTGGAGGCTGGATTACAAGTGCCATCAACCGAAATGTAACTCAAGAGTAGTTTCCTTTGACTAACGCATCAGCTCAACTGGAAGCCTGCACGAGAGGTTCATGTTCTTCATTCAGGCAGGAGCTCTCCAAAATGAGTAACTAGACTGCAAGTGAAGCTTCTCCAGGGGTAGGAAAAGTTCATAATGCTTTCAGCACGCCCTCTCACTCTGACTTCAGAGGAGTTAGGAATTTACATCTATTTAAGAAGCCTTGGTTCTCAGCCTCACGCTTCGCCAAGCGCAGGTATGCAGAATGCCTTTTCAAAACATGGCCATCACTGTATTTTAGTCAAACAGGTGGAAGTGTCTGAGGAAGTGCGGTTTAAAAGGCCAAGCCCCAGACATTTTAACAGAACTAGCTTTATAGCAGGTTGGCTTACTGCAGAGGTACCACAGAAGTGTCAGGACCGGTGGCTTTTCTGATAACAGGGTCTGGCATGTATCTAGTATGTAGCATGAGTAAGGCTCTCACATTCTGCACAACTAAATAGGGCAAAGCCATTTCTCCTACCGGCAGAAGGGAGGGTTGGAGGGCCCAGCACTCATTGGATATGCACACATAGAAACAAAGCTGCTGGCACAGTTGCAATACATCATTCTTTCATCTAACAGTCAGCAACCGGGCTGCTGGGGAGATTCTACATTTTCCCTACTACTAGGGTGGCTGGTTACTGGAGTGAATTTGAATATGTTTCAATAAATTATGCATCAGTACAGCTTTGTATATATTAAAATTACCTTGTTTCTGAAAATACACTCAGCATTAATTTCTTGATACCAGTCTTTCTGCTGCATCCACCAACTCTACTAAGCAGCATGTCAGGAGAACAGAATTTGAATGCTGCTCTCTGGCTGGGGAAATAACCCATGTCATGGGACAAGGGAAACCCTATTCCAGCATGAGGCACACAGCTTCCATCTGCTGGAACTAACTGCCTGTGACTCCCATCCTGGTGCCATTTCTTTACACAACACCAACAGAGCAGAATACCATTCCTCCTGCTGCCCAGGGACCTTCACATCAAATACTCAGCTGTAATTAAGAAAAAAGGTTTGATGCGCTTTGCTCACTTAAGTTCTGTTGTTAACAGGTCACAAATATTTGAAAAGGAACAAAAGCAAGTGAAACTATTTGCAGTGCAAGAGGAAAAGCTGCTAGAGGACTCTTAATGCATTCTGGCTCTGTACCAAGTCATACTCCAAAAAAGCCAAATTACACAGCACAATGTATGTGAGAACTCACTCTACCAAATCTAGTTGGATAAACACACTTTTCCTCTAGAAGAGTCAGTTCTCCCTCTTTAACTGGAGGAACATGCTCCTGCCATGAACTGACGCTTCTCGTTCAGCACTGATATCCACGTAATGGATCTGGTGCTTTCTCTGGCAACAGAGAAGGAAACGCCAGGTGGAAATAAGTTACGATTTTCTAAGGACTGCTTGCTAAGCCTTCAGGAGCCAATTAAACTGAAACAAAGTCATCCAAAACAATGGCACATTTTACTGGGGAGTACTCAGAACAGTCCTTTTTCTCTCCTAGTTCTACCTGATATTTTGTCCTCCTGTTACAAATTTTAATATATACAAAGCTTTTATTCTTTTAAATCACTGTTATGGAACAAACCACTCCTTCCACCTTTTTTTTTTTTTAAAAACTGTACAGACTTGTTCCATTTTCAGGAATATCTAGACTTGGTGAGTGAAGCAACCTGATTGGCTTCCATCCAGCTGGTAGCATCTTGAAAGTGATAAAACTCCACGAAGGCGAAACCACGGCTTACACCTAGAGACAGCATTCAGATATAGACGGGATACTTGTGTTAGTCAGTTCCTTTAAAACAGGTGAATCTCTCTCCAAACTGCTTCATTACTTCACAACAAAGCAGCTTTACAAATGCGACGTCAACTGCTGGGATCTGCTCAACTGCTGGGATCTGCTCGTTATTTTGCCATGGCAAGGAACCAAGATCCCTTAACTGGCTACATTTCACTCGATTTGAATCCATGTTTAAAGATAACCATGCAACAGACTACAAACTATTAAACAGGTTTATACTATTCTTACTTACCAATACCTGTTAACAAAAACCCCTGTAGACAGACTTCTTTTAACATGTTGACCAGCTATCTAAAGAGTCTTCCAAAAAGCCACATTCCTTAGCCATGGCAAACCTTTTTTTTTTTTTTATTGCATGTGCTTGCAGTTTGGGGACAATTCTGGATACTGTTTTGGGCTAGGGAAGACGAAGGTGATGTCAAAAACTGGATTAAGAGCACTCACCTGTCTTTCTTTTCATCAGCCTCACGTCTGCAGGCTGAGGACCTTCAAAGGACTCAATAAGCTCGCGAATCTGCATGAGATTTTAACCAGGCAGTTAATTTTTCACATCTTGGCAGAGTCAGAGAAGCAACCTACCTTACAGTACACGCAGGAGGTACACAGAAACATAAAATACTCAACACTGTCACAGAGAAAACTTTTACAGAGAACCTACCAGAAGACTGATGAGCACCAGAGAACCCACACAGTCCTTTGCTACACTAAACCATTACCTTCACTTAGGCCACAGAATCATCCAGAATCTGAATCCCTATGATCTTGTGTTCCAAGGTTATTTGTGCAAGATTTGGCAAGTATTGTGCTTGCTCCAAAGTTTTTAAGGCAGAACACTGCTGGCATCCCTCTCGCTGCTTATGTAAATACCATGGGCTCCTAGCAAAGAACAAGAACGCTGTACTTCGAGGCTCCATGATGGATGTATTCTTAAGCCTCATGCTACCATTCTCATTCTCTACCAGTTCCTCTTCTGCTTTTCAGGAGATAAAGCAGATCTGTGAAGAACGTATCATCAAAGGCAAAGCTAAAGCTAAAGAGACATCAGCTCTTCAGCCGCAACAAAGCTGCTCAGGTTGTGGCACAGGCTACGTAAATTACTGTGGAAAGGCACGTAGGTAAAACACATTTAAACAATTTTTTAATGTCAGAGCAGAAGACAAAAGGGGGTTTTTAGCAGCTCTTACAGAAGTCAAACTACATTAAGACAAAACAGGGCTGCTCAACAGACTCAAAACTGGTCCAGAGCTGCCCCTTCACACACTGACTGAACTGACATCTGCAGGGCAAGTACATATTTCCATGAAAGAGTGGAAAAAGAAGAAAAATATGTACACAATCAGCAGTGTCTATGTGAAAATGTTCTGTGTAATGTCTGACTGGGTTGTCTCATCTGGATGCAGGAGCCTACACATTATCAGGGCCTTATGAAAATATCAGGCTAACGTACGACGATTAAAAACAACATTCAACATTAGGAGGGTAGTGAATAATCAAGAACAAGAAAAAAGCAAACAAAGGATTATCCACATTAGCAAGCAATGCACAAAGATGGCAGAGGCAGAGGTGGAGTCCACCTGAAAACAAACTGGAATAGCTTGGCTTTTACAAGGCTGCCCCTCAAATAACAGTTGTGGGTGGTAATCAAAACAATCCAGCAAGGAAGAAAAAAGTTTTAAAAATAATAATAAAAAGAAAGCTCAAAGCTGATCACCTTTCACATCTTTCTATGGAAAACGTCAGACAACCATTTACTGAGCTTATTTGTGCTTGCTCCTCAGCTTCACAGCAGCCATTTTACAACTTCCACAGCTGCACCCACACAAAGCAGCTTTGTGCAGGGCTGTACTCGGCTGAGGAGCTCAGTGTGCGTAACCCCACCGGCCACAACTTCTGGCTTCAACAAAGACCCGAAAAAATTCAAGTAAGTACCCGGAGAGGGGAGGGGGGAAGAAAAAAATAAATATCTGCCTCTTCCCTCCTATCGTGAAAAGCAGAAAAGGGCAGGTAGTTTAAAATCCCTTCTTAGGGAAAGCATCCAAATATGCATTAAAAGAACTACTCACAAATTTTTCCATTTGAAAGAACCTGATTAACATTCAAGTAACCTCTGCTACTGAACAGTGACAGTTTAAGTCCTTGCAGGACTCAAAATGGCAGCACCACGATCGCACTGGAGAAGGGGCGACCATGATGCAGCTCCCAACAAAATGGCCGCAGCGAGGAACACACAGCCGGGCCAACACAAAGCCGCGGGCTTCCCGACACGCAAGAAAAGCAAAGCCTTTTTCTGGCTACTTACATCGTTCTCTGTAACCGTGATGGGAAGGCCACGTAACATGATGGTTTTGCTTTCTTTCTCATCGTTAATGTCATTCCTGTAGTCGTGCTCTCCATAGTCTCCATCGGAATGGTATCCATCTTCAGATTTGTCACTGTTCCTGCGCTCTCGCTCCCTCTGAGAAGCCGGCGCCCAGAATTAACCACCTCAGTTTCTAGCAGCGTGTCCCCGCAATGCCGCAGACCCAAAGCATCACAAACACAGCGACTCCGCGCACGACCACCTTTCTCGGATTTGGTCCTGACAGCGCCAGGGAGCACACCAGGATCAACCCCCCCCGCTTCCCCTCGGGCTGCAAACCAGGGGATCAGGCTGCCCCGGCCCCGAAAAGGCTCGCACCAGGCTAGGGCGAGGCCACCACCGCCCGCCCCGGCCCCTTCCCTCCCCCGGGGGGAATGCTGAGAGCTGCCCCGCGCTGCGGCGCTCACGGCTCCGGCCCCATTCGCTCACCCCACTCACCTCAGGGCTATCGTAATCGCGGCTATCGTAATCTCTGTCATAGTCCCGGCTGTCACGGCTATCGTAGTCCC